AGGTCACTGACAAATTCGGGTCCCATTCCCCTGAGGGTCCTTTCTACCATCTCGAGATGCCCTGCAAACTCCAACAATATTGATCCAGTGCTGACCTTTAATGGTGGCAAATGTTCCAATTTCTTCACATGAACCTTTGCGATGACATGAGGCAGACCGAAGTTTCCTTCAGGGTTTTCTTTGCAGACTCGTAACCCTCTGAAACTGGCAAGTTGACACAACTTTCAATGGCTTCTCTGGCCTTGCTTGTGCAATGTCGGATAAGAAACTGCAGGTTCCTAGAATTGTCAGCATCATCTTCTAAAGAAGTTTCAAAATGCCGCATAAATGATACTAGTTAATTGGATCTCCATCAAAGTGCATGTATTCTATCTTAGGGGTGTTCATGACTCGGCACAAGGTCTTAACTCTCTTTTCCCCAGTATCCTAACAAGCCGTCATTTGCGCTTGCTCTGACCTTTCTTGTCGCTGAATGTTCTGGGTTGAGAGCGGTAGATCACAATCCCTTTCAGTTTCAGACACGGCGATAATATCTTCTTGCGGATGCGCTACTGGTTGCTTACTCCTTTTTGCGATTGGTAATTCCAAAATAGATTCATAGGAAGCTGGCTCTGGACTATTATCTTGTTTTGGAGACTTCATTTCCAATTTCACATCAGACTGCTCTATAACATTTTCTTCATGGCCTACTAGCTTCAAAGCTGGTGGTTCCTTTTCTTTTTTAACAATTGAGCTGGTTCCCTCAACTTTTCCAGCCCCGTTTTCTTGATCGAGCGCACTAAAGCTTATATAGGCTCTTTCGGCTTCCATTTCAGCCTCCATTAATTCTCGTGCAAAATTAAGCTCAGTTAATTTGCGCTCAAGCTCTTATTTTCTTTTCAAATGCTCCACATTAAGTTTGGCTAAGGCCATCTGCTCTCTTCGAGCCTCAATACTGCTGCTGCTACTAACATGACTAGATTTCGATGCGGTACTCACGGTTTTGGCGCTCTTCCTTTCAGCTTCGATCTCGAGTTGTCTCACAGACCTTAAGCTAAACATGGATTCTGATCCAGGCAAGCGGCGGAATCGTTTTACGACGCCGCCCAATTCCATTTTCTTCGCCAATTCCTCGTCGTACATAACCTGAGCTCTCCGTTTTTCAGGTTCTAACTCCACTATTTCCATAAAACACTCGTGAGCATCCACAAATTTCCTCCACGTCACGTCATAAGATGCAAGTTTTGCAGCCAAATCCGCCGACGTCAAATCCCTTTTATCTTCGATCAATGAAGGCCAAATTTTATCTCTCAGCTTCTTCATTGCTCCACTTAATCCAGCTTTTGATCGCTTCAACTGCTCGGCCTTTTCGGCGCGGTCCTCTCATCATTTCTCCTTCTTCTTGAATATATTTTCAATCGAGCTCCTTTTCCCGCCTCGGGACATCAATGGGTAGACATGTTGACACAAATTATAATTTCCAGCCGACAAAACGAAGTGCTAGGTTCCAAAACTGTTGGTACCGTAGTACTGTGTTTATTTGTCTCAAACGAACGCCGAAAACTCGAGCTCATATATTGGCCGCACGGCCTCGGTCAATGAAAGTGAAAGTGAAAGTGAAAGGTTTTCTGAAAATAACAAACAAAGAAGGCATCAAACTCCAAATACCTGCCTGAACGCAAAAAAAAACAAATATTAACTCACCGAACCGTTCGCTTAAGCCAACGAAAGACGCAATAACGCCCTTTTTAAAACTCTCTTCAATGGATAAAAAACTAAAAAAACATCCGCAAACCCGAGCACATCGCGATTCCAGCCAAAAGTCATGTGACCGGCAAATCTCGGACTCCTAAGGGAGTCGGGAGTGACACGGGGTATCTGTTTTCTTGGCTTGCCAATTATTTGTCTAACCGAAATCAGTTAGTCCAGATATCTGGAAAGAAATCTGCCCTACAACAACCTGTGAAGTATGGAGTGCCCCAAGGGTCCATCCTGGGGCCTAAATTATTCTCAATATATGTTAATGACTTGCCTGAATCCATATCTTATAGTGACCTCTATATGTTTGCTGATGACACCACAGTTTATATCATTGGTAGGGATACAGACATGATCATCTCTTCACTTCGATGTATCCTATCCCAGCTACACGTATGGTGCACAGCCAACAGAGTAATTGCACATGAGTCAAAGACTGAAGCAATAATAATATCTACACGTACGTAGATCCACCTTTATAGGTCCTCTGCCAGCTTTAAGATATGGCACCAAGACCATCGAGCTCAAGTCTTCATCTAAGTGTCTTGGCTTAACTATAGACAATAAGTTATCTTGGCAGATCATATTAGGAATGTTTGTATTTTATTTAACAAGAAATTGGCTGTTTTGAAGAGAATCAAATTCCTGCCTCAGTCCATCTTGGAATCTATTTATTTCAATTCAATTATCCCTAAAGTTGTAAATAATATCTTTGTTTGGGGTTCTGCTTCCCCATCACTTATGGAGGATATTGAACGTATTCATATGAGAGCAATTAGGATTGTTTGCAAGCTACCTATGACCACTCCAGCTGATGAGGTCAAGAAATTGAGGCAATGGAATTCCATTTCTTCGTATTATGTTAAAAGACTGCTGGTTCTGACCTATCAATCCTATCATAGCTTAAATAAGGAGGAACTAAATATTTTAATTTCTAAGGCAAAAACGAATTACAGCTTAAGAAATTCCCAAAATTTAGAAGTGCCAAGACCAAGATCTGAAATTGGCACGTCTTCTTTTAAACGCAGGGCCACCTTGGTATGGAATCTTCTTCCCCATCATGTCAAGGAATGTGCTAACTTGAGATTGTTTAAGATTAAGCTTAAGGCTAACAAGCATCTTCTCAACAGCATAAATTTTTCCAAAGGTTCCTGCTGTGTTTCAATGAAACACGATGACTTTCTGTATTTTTAATTGTAGATTTAATATTGTTTTGTATTCAACTTATCTAATTAGAATTGTATTTAAGAAGTAATTTCACTCTGTTTTTCCAATTTTTATTATATATTTTGTTGTGATTGTATTTAATTTGTAGTTAGGCAGGTCCACATCCTCGGAGACCCAGGGGCTGTGAGTCGATTTCAAGTTAAGGGCAGAGGAGCCCCTGAGGACATTGTCTTACAAGACTCGTTCCAAACGGTCGCAGTCGTTCTGGCATCTGATTGGTGCCAGAAAATCTTTGTGCTTTTCTGCCCAATTNGGATCTACACCCCAGCAATGGCGTTATGTGAATAGAGAAGACAACCCAGCAGATGATGGATCTGGATGTCTTGATCAAGAACGACCGCTGGCTGACAGGTCCTAAGTTCTTATGGGAGGAAGAAGAATGCTGGCCAGCAATGGTAGAGATCCCAGTCCGTAAAGATGAAGATCCAGAAGTTAGAAAGGAGAATCAAATCTATGTCGCGATGTTATGGAAGAGCTTATGATGTACTATTCTTCTTGGTGGAAACTCAAGGTAGCAGTATCATGGTTGCTGCGCTACAAACGATAGCTTAAGAACAAGATGGTACAGCGCAGAAAAGGGTCTTCAACCAAGCAAGAGTTTGAAAGGAAAGGTAATCACCTTATGCTTGAAGAGCTTCGTGAGGCAGAGCATGAAATTCTACGCTGTGTTCAAATGAGAAATTTCCCCGAAGTAATTGCCCTTCAGTCTGAAGAAGATCCAAGATTGGTGAAGAGATTAATGAAGAAAATGGGAGTTTCAAGAATATCAATGCCCGTAGTTTCGTTGGAAACGGGAATACGGGGGCGAGAGTCGGTGAGAGCTTGCGCTGTCTGAAGACAGGGAGGATAGACCCAGTCAAAGGAAACCATATTTTGGAGAACTTCAAAATACCTTGGCTTGACATGACCACACTTAATGTGGTACCACTTATTGCATTGGTCACAATTTATAGCTCGGTGATTCCGCGCAACAGTCTTGGAGCAAACGGAACATTTGTCACTCATGACAGGACCAGGTTTAGAGGAAACATCACCACTTACGAGGAGACGAGTCTGCTGAAAACAGCTATCAGAATTTACATAGTAGTGAATCCTTGAGTGTAGGAAACATCTTCCACGAGTAACTGTAACAAAATGGCGGACTTGTATCCACGGCGAGGATTGCTTGTAATGTGTTGAAGTTGCACCACTGGAAACATCAAACTTTGCATGATGAAATGGTGGAGCCCTCAGGAAGCAAGAAAAGGTGTTTTCTTCCCTAAAAAGCAGAGGGTACGCAGCTAGAAGCCACAAAAAGAGAGAGCGGTAAAATGCACAACTGGACGCCATGGCTGACCGCTGACCCTGTATGTATGTATGTATGTATGTATGTATGTATGTATGTATGTATGTATGTACTCTGTTCCTCGAAGTCAGGTTAGTAGATCGAGTGAAGAATATTTATATATAGAAATGTTATCTTGGTTTGCTATTTGAGATTAAATCCTCGACTATCTTAAAAGAATTCAGCATACCGAACACATCCTTAAATTTTCTCACGAATGAAACTCGAAGCGTTAAAGTTACGTGTGATGTGTTGAAATGTAGTTTAATTTTGTCTGTCTTCTTTTCCAGAGTCATTTAGAATTAGCAGAACACCTCCTTCCAATCCTACCATTGTGGTTTTAGGAGAAAACAGCGCGCAAGTCAGTCTTGCATGGGAGTTATCTGATGCACCAAATAACTATTTCGTTCAGTTTTGGAGAAGGAAACCTGGTGAAGATCTTAAACAAATAGCAATCAGAACAAATGGGAACGCGTTCCATCCGGGCTCCACGAGTGAGTTCAAGGCTTCACTCCCAGCGACACTAACACTGAAGAACGTAGAGAGAAATGAGGAATACTCCTACACTATTACTCTGCTGAATTCTCAAGCAGTTGAGGTAGCACGAGATACAGTTACTATTGATGTGGTTGGTAAGTAATGCTGTTTCATGAGTTGCTTTAATACACTTCGTTTTGTCGTACATTTTTTTGCGTCTTGTCAATTCATGTACGCACTAACCCATATTTGTGTCTAATAGTATCATGCCTGTTTTAGAAATATCTTGAAGAAAATTTTATACCTAAAGCTGTCTCTCTCAGTAAATGATTTTATTGAACTTTCATTGCAGGGAACGGTAAGCTTATCCGTTGTACCGTTTGACGACACGGTTTCGATTGAACGCAGTTGCACTTTCAGTGTTTCAAAAGGATTGTTTCTTTTCAGCCGTGTTCGTTGTAACCTTTTTTTCACGCACGCTAGGAATGGCTGGAATTCTGGTGAATTGATCGTTATGTGACAGTTTAGTTTTCTGTCGCTTGAAGTTGTTTTACTTTGATGAAGATTGATAATTCAGCTCAAGCTTGGGTTGGTTATGTAAATGTACATTGTGCAACCAATATACATGTAAAGAGTATGTGCACGATTTTCCTCTAACTTTTGCACCAATTGACGTTGAGAAAAACTCCTTTTAACCTTTCAACCTGATTTTAAGGCTTTATTGTTCACTAAGGTGTTGTGTCTGATCCACAGTTTCTACTTCGTAAATGACTCTCGAAATCGTCATTGTTTAATATTTCATACTAGCCGAGCGGTCTGTATTGTTTGTTCGTTACTACCACATAATTATGTCAGTTTTGCATGAGTCATCTAGCATTGAATATTATGTCTGAACGGTTCGTTTACTTCTTACAACATTAAAGTATTTATTGGCTTCTAAAAACGATCTTTTATAATTTTTCATAGCCGACTGTGAGGTACGGTATGCAATTGTTGACTTGAATAGTTTGAATGTCTTTTTCGTTTATTGAAATCTATGATTATAACAGGCTGTGTTTTCCTTTTGATGTAGTAAGTTTTAATATATTCACATCATGTTTAACCCACGATAACCCACACTCGGGCTGCTGTGTGAAACAAAGATATTGCAATTGTATTTAAGGAAGTCAGGAAGGTCATGTGTATTTACTTCCTGAGAGATTCTCACTGAGGATTGTCAAGGAAACTTGCTAACCCCTGGGAGAGGATGCCACAGTGTTGTAGGATTAGCCCAGTATTTTTCAGGTCTTCTTGTGCTTATTATTTTACAATCTTGGATGGAGAGAGACACTGCAAGGGTAAATGGTCCTGTTCAAGTTTATGATTCATTGACCCATTTAGGGCTTTAGCGTTGGACTTCTTGAGCCAAGTTCAGCTAGGGCATTAACCACATGGTTCCAAGCATCTCTCTCTTAACATCTTAATATATGTATGCATGTATCAGTGTAATTATATTATTATCGTTAACAAGTATTTTCCTCAGCAGTCATTAGATGGCTAATCTTTGTCTCTTTATTTTATTCACAACATTCTCTTAATAGTTACATTGCCTTTGAGATAGCAGTTTCCCAGAAGTGTATCTAACATGGTACACAATGTAATAACTGTGATATTTTCACACAATCTAAACACATATCTCCAAATGTTATTTCCCAGTGCCTCCAGAAATAACTGTCCCACCCACACCAACACCTTTGCTTACCATTGGAGAAAACTACACTCTGACCTGCAATGCATCTGGTGACCCTTTCCCAAAGATAACTTGGACAAAAGATGGTACACCAGCAGAAGAATTTAATGTAACGGGTTACAAGCTTCATTTCACCAATGTGGAGTTGAAGGATGTAGGATCATACAGATGTACAGCCAGTAATGGATATGGACATAATGCCACAAGTGTCAGTGTAGCTAGCATTAGATGTAAGCAGTCTTTCCTGTATCATCAAAGTTGTTCTGAATACAGCAATGCAATTGCAAAGTTTTACTCTATGTACATGTATTGTTACAGAAACAACTCTACTTGTATTTTGATTCATACGTAAACTGCAGACAAGACAATGTGGTGTTGATTAAACACTACAAAGACATAATTATTTTCCTTCTATAGTTTTCATATTGAGATATCTAAAAGAAGGTTTTCATTTCTGTTTTAATTTTTTTAGACATCACAGTTTATACATGCATTTGTTTTACAATGCCTGACCAGATGGGAATTTAATACAGATGATTGTGGTGTCTGTTTTTGTGAGACCATTTTGTGAAAAGTGGGACCTAGTGCTTTCTCACTAGCTACGCACTGACCCTTACAGGGCTCAAAATGGACTTTATTTTTTATTTGGGTGTCAAGTTTTGATTAAAATGATTGGTTCGGTGATAAATTTTGAGCAAAGACATTTCTGTGCATGAAAAATTTTCTTAGATGTGAACAATCATCAGTTGACTGGCAAGTGCACTTTAATGTACATGTATCTGTGGCTTAGTTTCATGATAAAATGAACTTTGCCACACTGTATTTTTGAAAACTACTGCTTTCAGACTCGAGAAAGAAACAAAGCTGAGCTGAAATTGGATATCCTGCATGATGCTTTTTGCCTTGGAAAGTTTTTTTATTTAATTCAAGCCTTAAGGAGATTACACCAACTTTATGGTTTATTGTTTTCTTTGCAAAAGTACTTTTTTCCCAATAACCTGTATACATTTCAAGATTTGACTGAAATTTTTGGAAAATAACAGATAAAGCAATGGACTTAATTTGATTGTCAAAATAAATTAGAAAAAGGATACTTTTTTATACTTATTTTACTCTCTTTTTTATACTGTAGGTAATGATTGTGATATAAAGACAGTTGGAATAATATTAAGGAGTGAAACTTGGAAGTCAGCCTTGAATAACCAACAGTCAGTTGAGTTCAAAATATTGCAGGCAAATGTGTTATCAGAAGTAAGTATTTTGCCAAGAATGAGTACAATGGGTGACCATGGCAGGTTAAGAAACTTGTTTTTACATTTACCAGTACATGTTTTGTTTTTGTCATACAGGGGTAATTTGTAAATTTTTTGATGTTTAGATACAGAAACATGTATTAATTGTTTAATTCCCCTTATCCAATATGGCTTGGGCTGACAGAGCCTCCTTTTAATTCATTTAATTAGGTAGCTGCCAAATACAAATCTTTGTAAGAGTAATTGGAAAAATTACTTTTGAATTGTAATTCTGAACCACGGTCACGAAGAATAGACCTTTGGGTGGTTTGGTGAATATCTCGTCTCCCATTCACATGCATTGATATTTGGAGATGAGTTTCTAATAGCTTTGAATTCATTGCAAAGCATTACAACTTCACGATGGTTTAAATGTGTCTTTCTGAAATGGGGTAGCCGCTGGAATTTTTACAGCGAGGGCTCATAAACTGCATTTCCAGGAGTGATTGCCCCCGTTCGGCCTTTGTCCAATGAGAGTAAGGAGGCTGTTGATGGAAGAACTTGCGACTTTTTGGCGGAGAAGCTATTATTCATTTTCAAAAGGCTTTAACAATGCGGGCTAATTGCGTGGCATCAAATTAATATCCTTTTGTTTATATTTGATTCGCGTTTACCAAAAATATCACCTTGTGTTTTTCTGCAACAGAACGCCTCGCGCTAAGATAACGATTTCACTTTCGGTTTAGTGTTGAGAAGCGTTTTAAAAGCTTTAAGACAAGCCCTTAAACGAAAGTTTTGGTTGAGATAAAGCAGAGAAACGGATTTCTGATGAAAATTATAACAGTTTGCCGCTATTTGATTTGCCTATGAATACCTGAAAGCGAAATTTAAATTCAAGGATTAATTAAATTAATGGATTTTAGATGGAATTTTGTTTATTCACCCCCGAATAGGGGTATGCAAATCCGCCGATCCGCTACGATTTGATAACCAAATCCGTCAATCCGTTAAAAAAAATTGTTAAATCCGAATCCGTTCGCTAATTGTCACGTAAAAAGGTGAAAAACGCACCTTGAGCTGTTGTGTGTTAGCTAGGCAATTTTTAACTCGTGAATTGCACGTGCACAAGAACGAGTTGTAGGTATGATATGTGATGAATGGCGCTCGCTCATTTGGTCGATTCCTATAAACTTATTTCTATTTTAGGCTTTTGAATGTATTTGATAGTTTTTGGCGTGTGATAAACAAACGAAATGGCGACCTTTGTTGCTAAGAATAGTGTTGGGGCGAAAAAGAAGCCAATGATAATCTTGAAAGTACTTTAAGGTGACTAAAGTTTCTCATAGTAAGACCTATTTTTTTCAAAATGAGTAAGTAAAGATCTCAAAAGAGAGCGGTTACTTCTGAAAGATTGTTAGATAATACATCATCCCTATGTCCTTGAGACAAGGATCTTAACTCCATGAAGTGGTTCTTTCTATCAATATTTTGTGCATGTAACACAGGTTAGCCAGGCCATACTACAAACTCAACAACTTTTAATCTGAATAATAAACCCAGATTGTGCTTTCTTTAAAATGTTTTACATTATTTTGAACTAAAGATACATGCACAGCAGCAAGTTTTATTTTGAAGCAAGACTTAAGTTACACCTCACTTCATTTGATGTATATCAAATTAACAGCAAAGTGACATGGCTTTATACCTAACACCAATTCTTCAAGAAATGGCACAGCTACATGTTAACTTAATATGCTGAAANNNCTCAGTCGATGTTACGTTAAATAGGGACATGGTTGGTATAAGCAGTATAGTGCTTGCTGATTGCCTGAAAGACTTTCGCTTATGTTTATCCTTACGCTTATGCCAACCAAGTCTTAACTAGACAGTATAAGCATAAAAAGAAGGAAACGTTTTGATAATCTTATGCATATATGCTTATCCTTATGTCCGTGCGTTCCATCCAGCGTATAAGCTTTTACATGCCTATCCCTATGCTTGCATCGCAAGTAAATACTGAGCTCAATATTGGAACAATAGTTTTATGATAAACAAAACAGCACCCTTTTGAACTTTCATTCCACAAACCTTTACTGTAAAATCTGGAACAGTGACTGTCTTGCACCAAATCCTAATCAGGCCATATTTTCTGTCTTTGAGGCCTAATTTAGTTTCACATCATATTCCTCATAATGCTCATTAACCAGTCTAACGATTCATACCTTAGTATGGAAATCAAACACCCCTTTCTATTGACGACGCAAATTACATTGGCTTATCCAATTCACGAGTTGGCTCACAGAGTTTTTGATTAAAATACGGTCTAAGACTTTTTATAGGATTTTTAACTGCCAACTAAAATGATCTACCTTTACATTAGAAATCTGTTGTTGATCCTGACTTGTCGTCCAAAGCGTGTCGTGGCTCCTAATAGGAAAGTGGACCGTCTTTCAAGGTCAGAAATACTTGAATCTCCATCTTCTGGTTCCTCGTCTTCGTCTGTACTTGAGTCGTATTCTGGGACCTCCTCCACATTCTCGGGGTGGCTCTCGCCTGTTTCAAGTTCCTCTTCGTTCTCGTTTACTTCAGAAGACTCCGAACCTTCAGACAAGGCCAAGTCGACTCTGTCTTCAGATATCTGAAGCTGTCTCGGGTAAATAATTTTCGGCATCGTTCCATATCTAGCCTTTGTTGTTTCCAGACGGTTTGTTCTTTGCCGAACAGCAGCTCCATACGTTAAGGCGTAATTACGCATTTCTTCCACTGCCTTTTCTGAGAGTTTAGCTACTGGGAGTTGTGGAATAGAGGGAAGTGTAGCTAAGGGGATTTCATGTTCTGGGTTAGTGTACCAGGAGCTCTTTTCACTGGTGCAATAATACACTGTCGAAGACGAGAGCCGTTCGTACTCTCTTTTATTGCGTTTCTAAGGTCCCTACAGTATTCGTTTTTTTTGGTAGCAGCGGATGTTTGATGTGGCTGGTAGAGTCCAGGTGTTCAAGGTCAAGGGTCATGCAGCTTAGGAGGTTAGTGGCATCAAAAGAAACAGAGTAAAACAGTGACTTCATTCTGTCCAATTCCCAGTGTAGCATATCGACCGACCTCACAGTTACGGCAGACACCGTGCCTTGGGGTCCATTCAGTGTCATCTCAAGAGCATCCTGTTACAGAGCGAACTGACTTTTCATACTCAGCGAGTATTTGTTTGCATTCCTTGACCTTTTCTGTTCCCTCTGGTAAAGTTCTTAGTGGAGGACACTGTCCTTTGTGCAGTCTGCACAGAGAAAGCATCGTAAAGCTTGTTAACGGACTTTAAAGAACTCGCTATTTCGGAGAGAGGCGTGATTATTTTCAACGAATTTGATTGAGCGTCGCAAATATATACGGCGGAGTCAAACTCAACACAAACACTAACTGGTTGCTTGAACTGGCATTCCAAGAGGGGACCATCTTGACTTTCTTCAACTTTGGTTGCAGCAAATATCTGAACCCTTCCCTCTTCATCAATTTTGAAGAGACTTGCTTCTTCTTGATCTGTGAAAAGGATTCCTCTCTGAAATGGCGCAACGGTGTATCGTGTGTTTTGTGATCTGTAAACGACTTGGCCTTTACAGGAGGCGAGTTCTATTAGTGTTATGCCTTCATTGTGTGGCACAAACACCTTGTTGTTGTTCACACAAAGGCTGACAACAGAATCCCAATCGTCCCCATAGCCAATGATGCGTTGGACATATATCGCACATACCCCATATCCGTCATACTTGAGCTGTGCACTATGTATTTTCTTAGAATGTGAGTATGCTAGGAACATAAGCTCTCTATCGACTAATGCAATCGCCTGATTGTGCGCTTCGATAGCCTTGTCCATGAAGTTTACTCGGTGTTTGTCATGTCCAAGTGATGCATATTCTGCCTCTTTCCTCTTAAGATATTCCTTGCTTCTTTGCGCACCTCGGCAAGTGTTCCAGTAAATGGCAAACCAAAGCGTTATTTCAGAGTCTGTAAGCATTTAACTGATGTTATCTTGCTTGAATTAAGGTACACATGATTGTCCTCAAGTTCGACGATTAAGACACGACCATCCGACGAGTTCAGAAACGCGACATTGCTCTCGCAGTGTACTTGAGTTGAAGCAAGATTTTTCTTGATAATAGATATTTTGTCGACAGGACGGTATGTAGACGGGCGCGGTAAAGAGTGGAGGGAGCCAATTTGCTGTCCCATGAAAGAAATAGAAGCCATCCAAAGTTTGCAATGGAGACCCTTATTGGAGACGGGTACACTCCCAGGCGATTGTTGTCGGTGAATTTATCAAGCTCTGGAATTAGAGTGTGGCAGACATAACCAACGCTTGACAGGAAAGAAGTTAATCCATCACTGCGTAATGTTAAGACTGCCGAAGGGTCTTGGCGGTCCTTATTCTTTGCATGGTCAATCCGTGGTATAAGCTTTGTCACTTCAGACATAGTATCGAAAGTAGAGCGGTTTCGTAGAGTGCGAAGCAAATCACTGTTGCTACGCTCATTGTTCAGCTTGAGCCCCCAGTTGCTGAATGACGCTTTCAAACTTTTTCCCATGTGCACACAGTCAGGTAGTACAGTTAAAAGAGAGATTTCAAAAATCATTTCAAAAGCGCCCATGTTGCCTGTCTCGCAGTCTGCCGTGGCAACAAAAATCGCTCGCTTGACACACTTTTCTTTCTGGTCAAGGCAAGTCGTACAAGCACGTAGAGATGGATGGTGGCTTACTTGACCTTTCTCTTTGCATTCACCGCACACGTCCTTTATATCAAAGCAGGTCTGAGAAAAGCTTTGGCAATGTTTGAAGCATTTTCCAAGTGTGCTCTTTGATGACGAAGCCCGACTTTAGCAATATTCACAAGTTTTTAAGATCTTCACCTGTTCCATCAACACATTGTGGAATAGCTCGGCCGTTTTCCCAGACTTCGTGGAGTACTCAACAGCACAGGGTAGGCTACACTTATTCTCAATGCTTGTGACAGAAGAGACTATTGCTTCGGTGACCAGGTTTTCCTTTAAAAAATCTGCACTTGGCTTAGGGTTTCTTCTTACATAATCAATGTTAAACTGACATTTTCTTTACATCGCTCATCAAATTCAATGGCCGGTTTAATAGCTGTGCCATCGTTTGCTAGGCAGCAAGGATACACAGTCAAATAACTTGTATCCACGGTAGAAACAGCAGGAAATGTCTGCATGCGCACGATTTGTCCTAACGAAAGTGGCTTCCACACTCATGGCTCATTGGTATAACCAGCTTGGTGTTTAAGGCACGTCTTATAAGAAGGACCTCCAAGATTCATTTGCTGTTCGTTGGCAGGATCAAAGTGACTCCCTCTTCCCTCACTGCGGTTCATGGGATCTCTAATAAAGCATGCAACCTTCCTTCCTCCTAAGTAAGTAACCGTGTTAAAAAATTCGATGACATCTTTGTCGTACTGGTGCAAAGGATTGTAATGAGTTTCTACTACATCGTTCAAAAATTTGTAGAGAATTCGGGTTCTGTCAATTTTTCCTCTGCGAATCAGGTCTTTCAGTTTAACGCACACAGGATCGGCCATTTCTACGCCATAGAACAAGGAGGTATTGTCATCTTCGTCAAAGTCACTATCAATGTCCCTGGGGCCCTCTTGACTTTCAACTTCCTTTCGTCCCTACTCGCTGTTACTCTCTTCGTTGTCACTCGCTATTACTATCTTGACCATCATTCTCTGTTGACTTCTCACTCTCCTCACCCTCGACACTCCAACAAGCGTCACTTTCCGTCACGTTTCTATAATCGGATTTTTGCAGCACAAAACAAGTAATTAAATTCAGAATTTTAATAACATATTAAGCTGTTACAACAATGGTTCAATTTACCTTATAAGATAGTTATGGTTAATCAGAACAGGGTGACTGGAATGAAGTCCATGTCATAAAAAAATACATAAAAATTCAGTAGGGTCCATTAGTGAAAAACCATGGCCGGAACAAAAGACGAACTCTATTCCTGTCTATTTACTAGGTGTACAAACCAACTGTTTGACGCTATTACTTTTTTTTCCTCAGTAATATAAATGATGTGGTGTACGTGTCCCTCACACGTGTATTTTAGTATCGTTTGACTGGAAGACAATGGTTTATCAGTTACTCTATTTCTCTATCTGAGTTGTCAACGTCAGAGCCTTCTGCAGGTTTCGACTTCTTGTTTGAACTTCCCGTCTCATTCTCTTCAACCAGTGACCTCTTCTACAATATACCAGCATGTACCACGGGGTTTCGTTCAAAGGTCGGCAAACACTGCTTTGAAAATGTACTTCAGATCACTTACCAAATATCTTCTGTGAAAAACTCCCCAGAAAACTGGATAATAACAGCGCCAGAGACCGTGGCTTTCCTATCGAGCGAATCGCAATCAGTGGGATACAGTGTCACGGATAGCGGCGAGAACACACCAGACGTCCCAGTGCGTTACTATTTCCCTGATGTGTGACATGCAGAGAGTCTCGTCCGTGACAAATAAATACACATACTCAGAAACAACGCATTTCTGACGATCGTTCAGATCCACGATCCGAACTTCCTCACAAGCAAAATCCAAAATCCGGACCTAAAAAATCGATGAAACCGCGAACCATTGCAATTTCAGGATCCGCAAATCCGTTAAAATTTCGCTCTAAATCCCAAATCCGGGCAAAATAACTCTCAGAATCCGCCGATCCGTCAGCCTATTCACCCCCTCTTAGAGGATAGTCAAGTACCTACGCTTTATTCAATTCATTAGTGCGTCGCCGATGTTAGCTCAAACCTTAAAGGGCAGTGTCGTATCGGCTTCAATAATGCTGAAATGTTCCACCTGTTAGTTTGAAACGCTATGTTCCGATTCGCAAACGCCAATCAGTTTACTTCCTGTGTATGAGATTTCTTTAGCAACAATGGAAACTTCAGTAAGCTTTCCAATGTACAAAAGAGAGAGAGATCTTTTTTTAGTGGGAACTGTTCTTCAGTAGCGAAACATTTTTATTAGTTTACAGAGAATGGACGTTTAAAAATGTGCAATTTTCAAAGCAGACTTGGAGGTGTCAATCGCGGTTCGACGAAATGGCTATGGCATCATCATCTTACACTTTTAGCGTGATATAAGTTCCGCCTTTCCACTTTATTTTAATTATAAAGTTAATTTTAACGAAACAATAGTGTGTCAAAACATCATTCGAACGTGAAACTGGAAACAAAAGAAATATATCGCACCTAACATCAAAGCACTTGCGATCGTGCAAGCTCGCTACGTTTTCGGAAATTGTTCGTGCCGTGAATAAGGGCGTAGCTAAACTAGGAAACTTTGTTGTGGAAACATTGATTCCTGTTATGTTTCCCGGGGTGGCTAAATTAGCGGGAAACAAACAAAATGTTTTGCCGCCCCAGTGGCTAAACGAGCAAACATTGTTTCGGAAAACAAATAAGCTACGCATGCGTGTATGAATAAACTGACTTCGAGGAGGTCTGGGGATCATAGAATGTTCACATTTTCATTGTATCAAAGCCCTATGTGGCATTCCGCACAATAATAAGGAACTTCAGCATCTTGTACCACTTCCAAGAGAGTAGTACACATCGCTTGTTTGTTGACTGGACTTCTTTTTTCTTTCCAGGGCCTGTTCCCTCATAAATTGTGACCTGATAGTTTTCCACTTGCTCTTGTAATCCTCCCGGCTGATATATTTTTCTGTAATCAGTAGATCGATTTGCGAATATGCCACCTCCTTACTGTCCCTGTTCAAGTAGTCCTTATGACCCACGTCCCAGAGAAAAGGCCTTTCCTCATACAGCGTAATTAGCATTTAAATTTCTTCATCTTTCCAATTCCTTTCCCTTCCCTTTCCCTTTCTTTGAGCGTGACCAGCTTGAATTTCTTCGCAATCAGCCATTTTAATTGTTGTCTGCTCGCTTTTGCAATGAAACATTTTTCAATGTGCGAGCGGCACTGGAAACTAATCAACATTGTTTTCATGGTGGCTAATCTGGGAAACATGGTTCGGACGCAAAATTTGTGTCCAGGAAACAAGAATGTTTTTATATGCCGGTAAATACAAAATTTTGTTTCCGAGGAGCAAAATTTGTTTTCGCAACATATGTTTCCCGCGCAGCTAAACTGGGAAACATTTGCCTCTGCAAAAATGTTTCTGCAACAAAGTTTACTAGTTTAGCCAGGCCTTAATGAATATTCAATTAGAAAAACAATAGAGTGCATATATAAATACTAAATCGACCCACAAAATGTGGGTACACATTTAAACCGCGCTGAAGTTGTACAGTTTAGTTTGGGGGAGTGAATCATTTAAACATGGCTATAAAATAATGTGTTTTCAGGACCAATGGTGGTGTGCCATACTTGAAATTTAACAATTTAAATTTTACACCAAGTGAAGTTGAAGCAAGCTAAAATTTGCTCACAGACAAGCAGACCAATGATATTTTGGTGTTCTGCATACATGTAAAAGGTATACTTTTGAATAATTTGTGCCGTTTAAGCATTTTTGTTCCATGTAAAATAAAGTAACTTTCTTTCTTGTATTTAAGATCTCCAAGGTTTATGCTAAAAATCCCGGGAAAAAAATGTACAGTATAGATCTTGTTGCTTTCAGGTAATTAATTTTAGAATGCTCAGTGTATGCATATTTTAATGCCTTTTTTTTGTTTGAAAGAAGAATGTAGAATTAATTGAGTACAACATACCAGTACTCTTTGGTTATTTCAGAAAGTGAGGAAAGTATTCCTTTTTTTACTATAATAGATCTGGTAGTGTTGTTGCTGAAGTTGAGATGAAGTTTGGAAAATCTGTTACTGACCCTTTGAAACCACTGGAAGATGACATCAAAGATGGAAAGCTTGGGGCATTCACAGTTAACTGTAAACTTGATTTGAATATAAGTAAGGCCCAGTCTGCTTCACAAGTAGATTTTATTTTGTCATGTTTATGGAAAGTTACAAAATTTCTCTGTACTGTTTCAAGATTTAGTTTTGTTAAAATAAAGTTACCATGCATGTACTTCTTAAGAGTGAGAGAACTAATTTTTTAGTCCTTGCTTTTAGATGGCTTGGAATTGGAAAACTTTTGGCAAGTATTGATTAGACTGGAAACTGTTTTCTTATTCAAAATCAGCTGTGTTTCTGTACTCTCACATATTATAGGTAACAATTACTAATTTAAAAATGACTGGTATTCAGGAAAAGAATACCAGTCATTTCTTTATTACCACAATGTACATCAGCAATTGCCCAGGGGGCCATGTTCAGTTCTTAAAGTAATGGTTATTTTTAGTAAAAAATATACAGTAGAATCTTGTACTGATTGATTAGAAGCGTAATGCTTTTGATACCAGTCATATTGGATATCTACATGTATATTTTGCTAAATAGTAGTGGAAGCCTTGTTTTTCTTGTAAGTTTTCAAAGGCCGGGGTACTCTGGTGAGACCATCAACAGGAGTCTTAAATCTTGTTAAGGATGGTCTGCTGCACCATCTTCAATGTGCTGTGTACATTTACAACAAAAACCTCCCTACCACCTTTTCTTCAGCAAAAAATTGTTTCAGTTTTGATGAAATTAAAATGTTCTCTCCACAGCTACTCCACCACCCGCCTCCCTTTTTTCAACAGCTACTCCACCACCTGTCTCCCTTTTTTCAACAACGTCAGAAGAACCAGATCAACCTTCAAGTAATGCTCCCAACTCAGGCTTGACACCAAGCGAATTGTGGGGTATCATTGGAGGATGCATTGCATTTGTTCTTGTAGTCCTCATCATTATTGTAGTGTCCTCTATTTACTGTAGGAAGAATAAAGGTGGGGGTGCTTCAAAAGGTAAGCAAAACAATTTATTTGTGTATGACAAAAATCTATAAGGCTGTTTAATTTTTATGCATCAAACCACAACATGCACCAAAGGTGCACATCCTCTTTTATCTTACATTGCCATTACTGTTACCATATGTATGGTCACTTGATTGATCCTTTGATTGGATAACTTCCAGTTTTTCGGAATTTTTAAGGTGGTAGGAAAAAATACAGTGAAGTTGGTGGTTACCTTGGGTAAGTACAGTATTAGCTACTGTTCTGACACCTGGCAGCAATCGCCAGTAACCCTGGCTGCTCATTTCCTTGTGGTCTTGGTTTATATAATTTATACAAGCATGCTTATGATAATTACATCTTCAAATTGCCTTTCGGTTTCTGGCTTTACTTTGCAGATACTTCGTCAACCAGTCCCTAATATAATTTGAATTGAACACCATTTTCCATAATAGTTCTGGTATGATGCAGCGGTGAAAAATGAATGAACTTTCTGGGTCTCACTTTCATTAGCAACTGAAATCCAGATTTGTCTCGCCTTACCAGGTATTCTTATCAGAGTTAACTCTGTTCTTATGTTCAAATTTTAGGAACCTGCGGCATCATCGCCGAGAAGACCGAATTGAAATCCAGGTAATATAGTTCGATAGTGAGGAAAGATTTGTTTAACATTGCGTTAACCTCCTTTTCATACTGCATGCAACAATTCTTCAAAATACAAATATTCATGTAACACACGAGGAAGGGTGTGGCAAACTTGTGAAAATGTCATGTACTCGTCAAATACTTGTGACAACGTAATTACGCATGCTAATGTCGAGACGTAAGTTGAGGCGAGGCGTGCACCGATTACGGAACTTTTGTGTATAGGGTTTATGTCGTAGGTTGTCTTGTAATTTTTTGGCTAAATATGCCGCCCGCCACCGAAATTTCGGGCCCAAAGATAGTCTTGGTATAAGTTTCACCAAATAAGGCAACAAGCTGGCGAATCGGTGATACAGTTCGTCGCGCCGTTAAGAGAACTCGCAACGCTCTGCGATTTTGGAGGCCTTTGTGAGGAAATAATACGAGATCAATTGATTGAGAAGACATGCGTGAACCGGATCCGAGAACGTCTGCTATTGGAACCGGACTGCCTAACAGTGGATCGTGCAATTCAGCTCGCTCTTCAAGTGGAAACGGCCATGTTGGAAGCTCATTGCAACCGTGCCAAGTTCAATACGTCACGCGGAAACCTCTCCGTGCTCACGGAGAAACGAAACGCTATCCCCTTTTAGCAGCTAAGCCATCTTCAGAGCGTAGTGGCTGCTCTTCAGAAAAACGGAGCACAAATTGTGGTTGTGATCTACATGACATGCATGACAAGGCCTGTCCCGCCCGTGCGGTGCAGTGTCGATTTTGTGGTAAAGCAAATTATTTTGCGAAATGGTGTCGTTCAAAACCAGCTGCAGTGAAACAAGTTGCTCAAGATCCCAAGAAGGACGTGAAGGAGTCCGAAACGGTATTTAGCCTCTGAAGTGAGATACACGAATCGGGGTACAAGTTTTGCCAGGTCAACATCCAGGATGTGGAGTTGGATCTCCTGATTGATTTGGGTGCAAAGGTGTCTATCATCAATGAGTGGCTGTTCATGGAACACTTTTCCTCACAAAAGCTTGACAGTCTTAAGTCAGCGTCTGGTCTGTTACAACAACGAGGAAATTGAGGTTCTCGGGGTGGTAAAGTTGTCAGTACAGCACAGCTGTTGGGGGTTTTACCACTCGCTTAGTTTTTAACGAGATGTACTGAGACCCTGGACTCTTCTCTTTTTTTACTCTCTCCTACTACAACTCTTCAGATCTTTTCTTCTTCTACTACTCAGCGAGGAGTGCCCACGTTACTAAATTCAAATATCACAGACATTTTTGGGTTAGCTGACCGTGAGAGTTTTTGTAGTGTATCCCTTTATTTTGCAAAAAGGGGGAAACTGGTTGGCCCTCACCGAAGCACCTGTCGAGCGCCAAGGAACCAATTGAACGCTAACAGCTGCGCACAGGAATTGCGCACACGAACCAATTGAACGCTAACAGCTGCGCACAGGAATTGCGCACACCAACAGGAACTTCAGTGTGGGTAGAACTCAAGGTCATCTTTACCAACGCAAACACGACCACCTCTAAAACTGTGTAAATGTCTAAATGTCTAACACGGTAACAAGGAAATCCGTGAGCTGAGCCAAAAAAATATAAATCTACCAAAACAACGCGTAGGCGCAAAAGGCAAAGCTGAACAAAACAAAAGGCTTAACTAGAAAAGTCTCAAAACAACAACTTCCAATTCACCTCACAACACTACAAACAACGCGTGGAGAGTTTTTCGTTATGTTACCTCGCGCGGAACCACTCTTATGGGAATCGATCTTTTCAACAGACTCGGGTTCCAAGTCACCCATAACGGAGTGCCATTTCAATCCGTCTTACTTGCTTCAAGGTTTCCCGAAGCATTTTGAGAGTTCGGTAAAGTTATCGGTATAATCACTGTCCTTATTTAGACACCACAGTAAAACCAGTTACACAGAAGCGGTGGCGTCTACCCCTGACGTTATGCGAAGAAGTTTCGAAGGAACTTCGAGACCTGGAGGAGATTGATGCTATCGAAGAGTTACTAATCACCGTTGATCAGAAATCTGGTAGTTGCACGCCGCCCCTCCAGGGAAATTTGTCGTTGTGTTAACTTGCGGGATTTTAACAAAGCCCTCATTCCTGACAAATACCCTCTCTCTTCACAGGAAGAACTTATGACAGAGTTTTGCTTTCCACCATCTTCTCCAAGTTGAACCGGCGTAAGAGCTATCTGCAAATTCTTTTACATGAGGATAGCAAACACCTAACTGCATTCATCACTCACGATGGTGTGTTACAATACAAGCGCATGTCGTATGGTCTGTCATCCGCTCCGAGTGCGTTCCAAAAGATTCTTTCCTCCATCTTGTCAGGTGTTAAAGGTGCTTTTAGTATCATTCATGATTTAATTGTCCACGGCAAAGACTTTGAGCAGCATGATGAACGTCTTAATGAAATTCTCTCTCTTCTTAATGAACATCATCTGTCTCGGAACACTGGTAAATGTGTTTTCTATGCAACTGAAGTGGATTTCTTCGGCTACAGCGTGTCTGTGGTTGGAGTACGCCCTCTAAAGTCAAATGTAAAGGCCATTTTAGATCTTCCTAAACCCAAGAATACGATGGAACTGACTTCTTTCCTGAGTTTGTCCCAAATTACGTCCAACTTGCTGATCCTCTTCGCCTGTTCTTCGCAAGGATGTTCCTTATGTTTGGGCAGAGGCACAATCGGCAGCGTTTGCCACCCTTAAATGGAAGATTGCATCTCCTCCTATCATGGTGCACTTCGACTCGTGCACTCACCGTTGTCTCAGCAGATGCTTCGGATGTTGCCCTCGGTGCTGTTCTTTCACAGATGATCGATGGCCAAGAGTACTCTGTTGTAATTCGTCGTAGTTATCAGTTGCTGCAATAAATGTATTTATCCGGTACCGTGCGGTCCTGGTCAAATAACACTTTTCAAACATAATTGGGTATTTTTAAAAAACTTGTGCAGTGGTGAGCTTTGATTATCAACACATCTATCTTGCTTCCATATGAGTATAGTCGAACGCTGTTGTTTTTGATGATAAAAGCCCAGTATTCCTTTAGGTTTGACTAAGTTAATGGGTTATTGAAACAGAAAGGTTCTTGTTGATTGATTTGCACCGTCTTTGAACATTATCTGTTGGAAATTACATTAGGCGAAATTCGTTTTACAGTACCAGTTATAAGAAATATTTGCTCCTCGAAACATGGTAATATCGAAGTTTTTATCGCAACGTCTTTCAGGTTCAAGAATGTCCACAAGAAAATCAGCACACAAGATGTACAAACGTTGGGGTAGATTTGATGTTAAATGATGAGCGGTCTCCCACTTTGCAGTCACAGAGCTCTGGAAACCCAACTTACGAGCAAATTCTGGTTTCCTCGGAGTACATGCCGCTTAATCAAGCAACAAAATCTCGAATCTGGGAAATAAGACGGGAACAAGTTCACATAATGGAAATGATTGGAAAGGGTGCTTTTTCCCAGGTCGCAAAGGCAGTAGCTTTTTTAAATATCAATGGAAG